ATTGTGGTATATATATGCAATGGAACATTACTCAGCAATAAAAGAAAATAAAATCATGGCATTTGCAGGTAAATGGATGGGGTTGGAGAATATAATGGTAAGTAAAGTAAAAAACCAAAGGCCAAAAGGCCAATTTTTTTCTTTGATATGAGGATGCTGACTCATAATGGAGATGGGGTTGGGGGAACATGGGAAGAATGGAGGATAGGGCAAAGGGGAGGAGGGGAAGGGGTGGGGGAAGCGTGTAGGAATGATGGTGGAATAAGTTAGACATCATTACCATAAGTACATGTATGAAGACATAAATAGTGTTAAAATACTTTGTGTACAACCAGTGACTTGAAAAATTGTGCTCTATATGTATAATATGAAATGAGTTGCATTCTGCCATCGTGTATAACAAATTAGAATGAAGAAATAATTTAATAATAGAAAATAAGCAACCAAATAAATCACTAAATACAAAAAACAGCATGCATATAAAAAGGTGGACCCCAAAAACCTGAATAGGAAGGTACCACCAAGTGGGCAAGAGAGGGAGGATAAAAAACAATAACTCCTCTGCTCCAGAAAATGATTTTTAAAGTAGAATCAAGTAAATATAAATGTTGAGTACTGATTTTTCATTGGTATTTCAATAGCTTAATTAGAATTTTTAAAGTTCTGCATATATACTATACTTTCGATTTGTAACTGTGTGATAATATGCTTTAAATGATGTTTATTATTACTTTAACATTATATCTTTTAAAAGTCATCATTTTCATTCAATTGCTCTTATTGAATTAAGTAATGTCTATGACCAGTAGGCAACCTTTGTATTCTACTGAACTTTTATCTTATAATGTGGAAAATCTATGTTGACCTAGAATGAATGTATTCTAAAATTTTCCTTTTCATTACACTGTGTGTCTGTTTATGTGCTGTGTTACACAAATAATTATCAGCTTATGTTGTCCTGTCCAGAGGAGGGGGAGGAATGTCCTTGTTGGAGGCTGTTTTGTGTGGGAAGAGAACAAGGCTGATGCTTAAAGGCCCTCTGATGGAATCTACTTGAGCCTCATACCAGATTGGGTAAGGCTGGTTATACCTGCCTGATGTTGGTCCAGGAAAGGTACCATTCAAGCAATCTCCAGCTTGGGGATACCATGGATACAAGTTCTGCCTTAGGACTCTGTGTAACGTCGATCTATTCTTTTTCTTCTTTTTTAAATTATTAGTTGTTCAAAACATTACATAGTTCTTGATATATCATATTTCATGCATTTGATTCAAGTGGGTATGAACTCCCATTTTTATCGCATATACAGATTGCAGAATCACATTGGTTACACATCCATGTTTTTACATATTGCCATACTAGTGTATGTTGTATTCTGCTGCCCTTCCTACCCTCTACTATCCCCTCTCCCCTCCCCTCGCATCTTCTCTCTCTACCCCATCTACTGTAATTCATTTCTCTCTCTTGTTTTTTTTTTCCTTTCCCCTCTCTTCCTCTTATATGTAATTCTTCTTTTGGAAGCCCAGTTTACAACCTAAAGCATGGAGGCTTAGCTTTGCTACATGAATGTGGACCCAGCTTGGTCAAATATGACCCTCAACCTTTCCAAAGTTAATTGTTGGATTTGAGAATTACCTTCTCCTATATGCAAGGGAAGACAGAAGGTAGGGAAGAGGAGGAGTAGGGGAAAGAGAAGGAGAGGTGAAGAAGAGGAGAAAGAAGGAAAGAAAAATAAGAGGAAGAAGGGGAAGGAGGAGAGGGAGAAGGAGTAGAAGGAGAAGGAGAGAAAAGAAAGAGAAATATAGGAAAGCAAAAGTCTCTTGACCTTGAAGAGTTTGGATCTCTAATACTAGGAAAATTTGAAGGCATATATTGGGAATGCTTATTTTGTTTCTGGCAGTAAATAAAACCCTCAGGGAAGGTTATTAATTTATCTGGCCTATTTAGTATATTAAATGACACTATTTCATACTCTAGTGACCTGAAAAAGTTAATTTGCCATTTGAATGGCGTGAATGATGAATGCTCACATCAGGTACTGGCACTTTACAATACTCAACAAACATTTAGTACTTTTTGCTTAAGTGTGCCTTATTTTTTTTTTATTAGCATCTATGGGAAAGACATGGGAATTGTAACATTCTGTAGGGGATAACAGGTCACATTTTTGGATAGGGTACCATTTCAGAATGAGAGATGCCTTAACATAGAGCCCTGATAGAGATGGAGAGAGAGAATACCAGAAAGGAAAAAGGAAGAGAGAAAAATGATTACAAAATCCCTTGGTTTCCTGTGCTTCTTGTGTCCTTTTAATTTAAGACACAGTGACATTCTGTGCCCCTTGTATCCCCCTTGGATTTCTTCAACCCCCATGCCTGCCCTCTCTACAGTTCTTTATGAGCTATCATGTGGGGCTAGAATGGAATTTGGAAAATTAAGAGCTGATTTTTATTCCTTTGATATCTTGGTTGCCTGGGGCACTAAAATAATTTGAATTGGTTTTGAAATGAAATGTCACTTATGGAGTAAAATTGTATAATAATTTGCTTAATTTAAACAATGAATTGGGGAGAAAGCAGCAGACATCTGATTTGCATTTTATACATAAAATAATGTTTATCAGATGTTTGGAGGCAATAGATATACAACTTCTGAACTAATGGGGCATGGTTATACTTATTGCTCTTGCAATAGAAACATAGGACATAGCACAGAAACACCTTTAACTTTTGGTTATTTTTGAAAGCAAATATATAAATAATATAAAGAAAATTGTATTCTCCTTTCTGTCCTTGAAAACTGTATGTCTCTGTGTTCCAGAAATTATTTGGTGCACAACCAATGGATCCCACCTTTTCTTCATAACAAAGTATAATAAAGTAGGGAGAGGGCTTGGCAAGCCAGAAGTAAAAAGCATTCTTATTATTTTCATAGATCCAACAAAAATCAAGAGAATAATACAGTAAATAAATAAGTAAATGCAAATAAAATGAAAAATAAGCAAAGGTATAAATAAATTGCAAATGAAATTTCTAAAGTAGATTTTGATAAGACAAAATTCTCATAAATTATTAGAAGATTATGCTTACTGCAAACCAAGATACTAGCTTTAGGACTATGATAGATAATAATGAGACTTGCAATTGCCTGCATACACTCACAGAGAGGCTTGTTATTGTCAAATGCCTGAGGTTGTTCTCAGTGATCCTTGGCTCTGGTCACTCCATGACACTAGCAACTGAAATGAGGAAAGTTAGAGTTCCAGAACACGTTTGATTTTGTGTCAGCAGGTTTCAAGAGTTGAGGGCTGCGCGCGGGCGTGGTCAGCGCCTTCCAGTCCTCCACGTGGTCTCTCACATCTCCCTACCTACCTCGTTTACTCCTCCAGGGGGAGGGAAATGAACAGTCAGGTGCGACCCAGCAGGGGGAGTGGGTGAGCTGGCCCGAGGGCCTCCCGAATGTATCCTTGGGTGTGGGTATGGGTGTGGGGCAATTTGGGTGGGAGCATCGTGGCCGCTACCACCAATTTCTGCGCCTTTTTAGTGGGGTGTGTGCAGGAGTGAGGATAAATAGGAGGCTCCCTCCTCTCCCGACACTCACAGAGCCGGCCGGCCGTCCTCCCTGGGTGTTTCCTTGCCCTGTAGCCAGGGTGCCAGCCAGAAGAGTAGTTTCGTTTCCTCCTGGCTCCAGGATTAGTTTCCAAGCACCCTCTGGAGCGCCCGGGTCCCGGGAAGGGGGCGAAGAAGGAGGAGGGAGACTCGTCTAGGGGCTGCCCGGCCCCGCAGAGCGGGGTTGATGGACCCGGCCGCCCCGGGCAGCGGCGCCAGCTCCCTGCCACTGCTCCTGGCCCTTGCCCTGGGTAAGTGGCCACGCTGGGCACTTGAGAGCAGGAGGAAAGACCGGGGCTGGAGTCACGGGGAGGGCGAACCCTGAATCGCGCAGATAATCTGGGCACGAGGGCGCTCTCGGGCTGGCGAGCGCGGGTCAGAGAACTTTGATGACTGAGAGAGGACGAAGTTGAGGATCCGGCAATTGGGCACTTGGGGCTGCACCTGTTGGAGGCTGCCCCTAAGCGTGGAGGGAGGCCCGAAGGCGGAAGGGATCGCGCGGGCCGCTCTGCCGGCGCTATGCTCAGGTTGCCAAAGGGAGCAGTGCACAGAACAGAGGGCCCCACAGTGACCCGAGGGGGTGCCTTAGGGCTCTGGGGACCGAGTGCCTGCGAGTGCGGAGTGGTAGGAGGGAAAACTCACTAAAGAAGGAGAATAGACGTCTGTACCCCGAAGGGTACCCGCAGGAGAAACTCAGTGACCCAAGATGCTGGCAGGGAGTGTGGAGCAACGTGGTGGAGAGAATTTCTCTCTCTCTCTCTCTCTCTCTCTCTCTGTGTGTGTGTGTGTGTGTGTGTGTGTGTCCGGCAGTGTGAGAAAGGAAGGAGACAGCTCCTGGAGAAACTGTCATGATCTAAGAATGAATTAATATGCCTTATTTTTGCTGGGGCAGCTGGAAGGAGCCAGGAAAGGCAAAACTCACCTCCGGGGACCTGACTGTTGCTGATAGGGAAGAAAGGAAAGGGAAATGACACATTTTATTGAGGAAACCTTTGATGAAATACAAGAACCCTTCACTTGTAAACTGTTATTTTCTATTGTAAAGCGAAATTCTGGGAGGGAAAACTCTTCTTCAGTGGGAGAAAAGTTGTTACTTTAAAGACCACTGGACATGAGTCACCTGGGTGAGGGAAGAGGACAGGTGGAAGGAACAGGTGCCTTGAACTTTCTGGAGCCATCCCTATGACCTTGGAAGTCTGTACTTAGGATGGAGAGCTGGAACTTCAAATGACTGGAAGTAAGGCTCTCCTTGTCTCCAGAGTAGGAGGGGAGCAGGAAGTCATTTAGGTGGGGAAAGTCCACCTCCTGGAAACACCCTCTTGCATTGTGGTTATTTTGGATGTCAGAAGGAAAGGGACCCTAGTGATAGTTTCTAGTCTTAACTGGAGAGTATGGGCATCTTGGATGGCACATGGGGAAATCTCCCTAGCCTAAACATTGTCATGGTATCACTCCTATCTTCAACCCTGGAAACACATGTGAATAAAGGGGTGGATTTTTTTTCTTATGGAAGAAAAATAAATGGAATCTAAATGAATGTTTTCATTTTGCTGTGTCCTTGGAGTGAGAAAGCGGGTAATGTAACTTGGTTGCAGGTAGATCAGACATAGATTCATGGTTAGAAAGAAGGGATGGATTTAACAAATCCTGCAGAGGGAGAAGTCAGTATTAGTGTAGTGAAGAGTAATGAGGAGCGTCAAGAAGAGTGATGCACCTGAGATTTAGGACTTTTGCCAGGATCACTGGGATGTCGGTGGCATCATACTCCTTTGCCTTGTCTGCACAGTCTGGCAATCTAGGTGCTCAGTATCTGCTGTAGTCAGCAAGAAGTTGAAGTATGTAGGAATGGGCGGGGGGTGAAAAGAGTATTTGAGAGATTCCTAAACCACAATTCTTGCCCCCAAAAGAATATTGGGGAATGCAAGACTGCCAATATGAAACAATTAGAGAAACACTTAGGAAACCAAAGAAGGGAGAGCTCAGTAGTGAGGAAAGGAATAGTGGGACCTGAGTCGGTAATGGAAGCTTGGGTAGGATTTCAAATAGCAGAGAAGAAAGTGAGAAATAGATAAGGGAAAAAGCACTTAGTAAAGGTTGATGATGGGATTGAGAATGTTCTACTGGAAAGACAAGCAACAGCTTGTCAGACAGAATTTATAAAATGCAGACAGATTATGACGAATTGAAAAAAAAACTGTAAAATATTTGGACACGAATCAATTAGTAGTAAAATGCACACTATCACAAGGCTTGGATGAAGGAGGTATGTGGCGTGAATAATGATTTATAGGAGATGAATGAATCTGACAGTAGTGTGCACTGTGGGAAGAGGGGAGGAAAACTGCAGATCAGAGGGTCTGATTGTTTCATAGGTATGATCCAGGCATGAGCTAATTAGAGCTCAAATTAGGGTGCTGGGCCAAGAGAAATGCTAGGGTAGAAATAACTGTTGAGTGTTGATGGACATTCTCCCCCACTTTACTGTCATACTGTGCTTTAACTTTTTTTTTTTTAACTTGTCAAAAGGCAGAATTGTACAGACTTTTATACACTCAGGGTAACCGAAATGTACAACCACCTTCAGAATGATTGACTTAGGAAATTGAATTCTGAGTCTGCATCCTCTAAGAGCTCTCTCTCTCTCTCTCTCTCTCTCTTTTTTTTTTTTTTGCAAAATGCCAAAGAATATAATTTGTTGGCATCATTGTTTCCATTAAGCATTCCTATTTCTATCATACACACTTTACTTTTAAGTTCCATTCCTAATTTAAGGGACATGTTATTTACTTTTTGAAAAGAATGTGAGAAATGTGTTGGGGGGGGTGGACAGTGGAAAGAACAGAGAGCTGGCATTGAGCAGACATGAGACCTGGTCCTTGCTCTGCCATTCTGTGACTAAGATATCTGTAAGTCACAACTTTCTGGCATTGTTTTCTTCATTTGTAGAATGAAGGGGTTTCATCAGATCACTATACACTTTCCTTTCTCATATGCTTTAAAAAAGTAAAATAACTTGTGACAAATTATGGATGACTTATATGTATTATAAATGCAGATGCTCCTTAAATACACCTGGGACTTAGCAGATGGATTTAGACAGGGGAGTTTTTATTATAACATATGCAAATGATAGACTATTCCCTTTGGGAAATTTTATGAACAGAAAAGTAAGGTGATATAGAAAAGAGTCATACCTAGGAAAACTGAATTAATATGGTACATATAAATTTAACATAGATATAAAATTTCTATTTATATATGTAATAATGTATATACTTATATATGTAGATATGTACATATTTTTATATGTAATTAAATTCTTTGTACATATTAATTGATTATATTTTACTAAAGCTAAAGGAATTTTCATAGTCAGTAGAAATCTTGAACAACTTAATTTTTCTATAAATAGAATTTCCAAAAAAATCCCTTCCATTTCTCAACTAACAAATCCATTTATTATTAGGATACCAATTCCAGTGATTCAGAAGAAACTGTTGAAAAGAGATATTGAATATTTTGTTTTCAGCTTTGTTATTGTGTATGAGAAATAATCCCATTAAGATTATTTTCATTCTAAGCATTATGGGTGATGGGCGATAGCCTTAATTTGTAACTGGTTATGATTCCTTAGATGACGAAGATGCCAATCCATAACTTCTTCCTTGCCAAAAGAGGGGAACACCCTGTAGTGACTTCATTCTGAGCCATATTTGCATTTGCTTGCTTTTTCAAGACATGCTATGAAAATTGGAGTCTGGTTCCAGTAACTCTTACATTTTGTCTGTGAGGGCAGTTTCTGTGTTTTTAAAGTTAGTGTTAATATTGGATGATATGAATCCCAAATTATCACAAAACATCCTGTCTAAATAATGACTGGGATTACCTTCCCAGGCCAGTTCCTATAAAACTTTGAATTAAAAGGGTACTTAAAGGATAGAACTAATTGGAATAATCTTATATTAAAGTCTATAGTAAGCATTAAGTTCACAGAGATGTGACTGGTTTTATTATTATATCTTCATAGCAATGGATTTCTCTTCATCTGCAGGGACTTTAGAGGGTTTCTCTCTCTCTCTCTCTCTCTCTCTCTCTCTCTCTCTCTTGAATACATTTGCATTAAAAAGTCATCTTGCAATTCAGGGCATTTATTTCTCAAAAAGGGATTGCTGTGGTTTAGACCTGCAATGTCCCCTAAAGGCTCATGTGCTTAAGGTTCCAACCACAATGAAGTGGTCTCCAGAGGTAAAGGTTTTAGGAAATGATTGGACCACAAGGGCTCTAATCTCATCAGTGGATGAATTCATTTTATGGATTATTAATTTGAATAGATTCTTAGAAGGTAGAACCTAGTTGGAGGAAGAGGTTCCTGGAGGTTTGCCCTAGCAATGTTTATCTTGTTCCTGGCCCCTTCCTCTCTGTCTTGTGTGACTGCTTCCTGGCTGCCATGAGCTGAGCATCTTTCCTCTTCCATGACCTTCCTCCAAGACGTTCTGTCTCACCTCAGGACCAAAGCAATGAAGCCAACTACTCATGGACTGAAATCATGAGCCAAAATAAACTTTTCCTCCTTTAAGTTGTTTATGTCAGGTGTTTTGGTCACAGAGATAAAAAGCTGACTAACATCAGGGACAAAAGCAAGAATCTTTTGTGGAGGAGTATAGGTTTTGACTTATACCTCTAAGATTTGCAAGTGAGACACTGAAGTGGCAAGTATTTAATGCCACCATTCATTTATATAAGTTAAGTTATTCTTAAGTTACCTATTTAGACAATTGTAGAATGCTTCAAATGGAGTAGTCCCCAATGTCCTTTAAATGAGCAACTTTCCATGTTTCTATGGAAAACTTAATGCACAACCAAGTTGTGGAGTGCTAAAGGTTTATAGTGATTCAAACATCATACAGTGAGTTGATTTCCTCATTCGTTTATACTGTCCCTACAGCTAAACTCACCTTGTGTGTAATAATAACAGTCATGCTTTTAGTTTTTGCCACATACCAGGTGTGGATCCTTTTTGGCTTTCTCAGTCTGGATTCCACAGAGTTTTTTTTTTTTTTTTTTTTTTGTGCTAGGGATTGAAGCAGGGCTTTGTGCATACAAGGCAAGTCCACAAGAGTTTTAAACCATCCACAGAGTTTTTTTTTTTTTTTTTTTTGTGCTAGGGATTGAAGCAGGGCTTTGTGCATACAAGGCAAGTCCACAAGAGTTTTAAACCATATACTTATTTTTTAATATTTATTTTTTAGCT